CTAGAATGATAAAAAGGTTGGAACACTTTCCCTATGAAGAAAGGTTAAAACGCTTGAGGCTCTTAACTTGGAGAAATGATGGCTGAGGGGTGACATGATCGAGGTTTATAAGATTATGCATGGGATAGAGCAGGTAGAGAAAGAAGTACTTTTCACCCTTTCTCACAATACAAGAACTCATGGGCACTCAATGAAATTGCTGAGTTGGGTTAGAATCGGGTTAGAATGGATAAAAGGAAGTCCTTCTTCACCCAAAGAGTGATTAACACGTGGAATTCACTGCCACAGGAGGTGGCGGCGGCTACAAGCATGGACAGCTTCAAGAGGGTATTAGATAAGCATATGGAGCAGAAGTCCATCAGTGGCTATTAGCCACAAGGTATAGATAGGCTGTGGAAGGTCGGTAGTTCAGCAGTTCAAGACCTGAGTGTGCCGCATGACGGAGTGAGCTCCCGTCTCTAGTTCCAGCTCCTGCCAACCTAGCAGTTCGAAAGCAAGAAATTGCAAGTAGATAAATAGGTACCACTTTGGTGGGAAGGTAACACCGTTCCGTGCACCTTGGTGTTTAGTCATGCCAGCCACATGACCACGGAAATGTCTTCGGACAGCGCTGGCTCTTCGGCTTTGAAACAAAGATGAGCACCGCAACCCTAGAGTCGGATTCGACTGGCTTTCGAGCAAGGGAACCTTTACCTTTATAGATAGGAACTCTCAGTCTGGGGCAAGTGATGCACTGTATTCTTTGTACTTGGGGGGGAGCAACAGTAGGAGGGCTTCTAGTGTCCTGGTCCCACTTCTGGACCTCCTGATGGAACCTGGTATTTCTGGCCACTGTGTGACAGAGTGTTGGACTAGAAGGGCCATTGGCCTGATCCAACATTGGTTTCTCTTATGTTCTTATGTTCTTAACTGGATTTTACTGTGTGAACTGACAAAATCCAGTTGGAAAGTGCATTGAAAGTGGATTATTTTGCTTATGTGATTGCAGCCTCTCTTTCTCTGCATGGCCCTTTCCATACTGGGATCTCATCCCTGGTTTTATCAGAGTTCAACTCATGACACAATACCTTGCATTTATCCCTGGTTATAACAGTATCCGTGTATCCCTGGACAAGTGTGGGGCGAAACCGGGGTGACCTCATTGTAATGTGGAAACAAAAAATATCCTGAGATAATTACAGGGGTGAACTCGAGTGTAGTGTAGAATGTATGTTCGGGGACAGGGTTGAACCAGGGTTTAAGGTCTAGTGTGAAAAGGACCTATGCGTTTTATGATATCTCCTCACAGTTATAATTGGAACCACAGTTCTTCAACATAAGCCATGGGTCTAACTGCTGAATAATTTCCCCTGAGCCAGAATGCCTCTGGCCTGGCTACACCCACACATCACTGGACGTTGCACTATAGATGTGCTATACTAATCATTTGCAACTGGATTCGCTTGTCCAACAGGAAAACCCAGTCCTGAATGATTGCTGTTTCACACCAAATGTACAATATCAAAAAAATGTGTGAATGTAGCCAGAATTACCTGTTGAATCAGAATTGCACTTTATTATCCTTGCCTCTAGGATCCATAGATTCAGGTGGGCAGCCATGTTGGTCTGAAGCAGCAGAACAAACTTTGAGTTTGTCTTCCCCGTCCAAACCCGATAGCCCGGCTGGCTTGCTCAGCGGGATCCCATCCTCGTCGCCACTGAAGTGTAGTGGGTTAGACGCATGAATGAAACCCCGAGACTGATGTAGTGATCAGCATGGTTTACTGGAACACAACATAAGATAAGAAACAACGGCCGGCTAGCCAACTATATACAACACAGGGGACACACCCCTGCGTCCCATTGGTGGGTTTAAATCTCCCGCCAAGGTCCCATTGGTCCCCCCAATGGAGGGACCAGGAGCCTAGTCCCTATTGTTACTCCGGATTCAAGCTCCGGAGTGTGTGCTGGCCTCTGGTGGCGGTCAGTGGACACAACAGACCAACAAAGTTTAATTCTGGGTATTAGCTTTCATATGCACACACATGTCTTCAGGTTGCCACTGAACTCATACTTTGTTCTCCTAGGATCCATACACAGAGTAGAGGTTGATGAGGGCCCTTATCTAAACTCAGGACATGGGCGACCTGGAGGGTGTAATAGCAGCAAGCAGAAGAAGGCCACTGCAGATTCTCTAATCCAGTATTTTTGAAGCACCTGTGTGGTCTCCCTGTTTCAACTGTTTTCCAATGCTCAGTGTACAATCTCTTTCTGCTAAGCAAGGCAAGAAGTCAATGAGGAATTAGTGCCATTTTTCATTTGCGCTTTTCAGTTCCCTGTATTTCTATGATTTGCTCAGCTGAAATATTTTACATTTCATTTGTTGGCATTTTTGTGTCTGCATGCCAAAGTTTACTGGAACAGACAACTTGGCAAAGTAATTCGTTTCCCAGGCGAGTCTCCAGTTCTGACAAACTGGAGGGGAATGAAAATTATATGCCAATAAAATTCCATCTCAGAGGGCAGCTTCTGCTCCCGTTCCTATCGTTGTAAAGGTCAACATGGAAGTAGAAACAGGGTTGGGCGACTGCCCTGTGCTTATTTTATTCATAGTAAAGCAAAATGCCTTTTCAGTTCTCTTTGGGCCTTGTGCTTTCTCTTTAGGTCTGACAACTGTTTTAGGGCTGGGCCTAATTTCCCCTAATGCTGCTTTTACACAAATGGTGACCACCTTTGGCCTGGCTGGGATCATTGGCTATCATACTGTTTGGGGTGTTACACCTGCTCTTCACTCTCCCCTGATGTCCGTCACAAATGCCATCTCTGGTAAGTCGGAAGGGGTTGTGTGCTTCTTTCCTGGTGGGCTTGTCATAGAGATTGTAATGGGCCAGACTTGCCTGACATAGGTTGGAAACACAAAACGACACTGGCCAACAGTTACTGGTGATAGCTAACAGGAATAAGCATGTATAGGCTCCCATTGTTAGGAAAATGCTTCATGTGATAGCAAAATTCTCTTGAGACTGATCATGAGTTTAAAGTTATCATGCAAGAATAGGGTTTCACAAGGAACTTTAGGAAATGATCATTGACATATCGTGCCTATAAAATGCACAAGCTATCCATCCATCCAAATGGGGTGTTGTCTTTCTTGGAAAGCCACTAATGCCCATAGTAAACATGATATGTAACCCTTAGGTACTGCTTGAAAACAGTAAGCAGTACATGATTTTGCCACATAGCCAAAGGAATGTGTAAACATAGACACCACGGCCCTCTGGCCAGTTTTCTATAATCGGCAGGGTTTTCTTGGACAGCATGCATTCAGTCTGGAGAACTTGGGGTTGCACATTTGCAACCTTCCCTATGTAAACAAATATGTTCCTTTCAGAATGAAAACTAACCTCGCAGGAAATCCCTCACTACTAATTTTCTAGTTTTCTAACTAGCAAGAAACTATTATTTGGTCCATAAAAAATGCATCCGTTGAATCTGCTGATTATCTTTTAACTTCTAAGCCTGGGACAATTTTGTCTCAGCAGCCACCTTGATTTGAATGCAGAAATGAACAAATAGCCATGAGTGGATGAATGTATGACTACTTCGCGGTAGCAATGCTGCAATCCCTGAGATCTTATTTCTCTGCACAAAGCCAGCACTGCATAAGCAATTAGTAATGATGATTAACAAACAGGCCGCGTGCGCATATTGTGCTTTTGTAGCTTGGCAGGTTGTGAATTCCTTCCACTATACTTTCTTTCCCTGAGGTACTGTTTATTGGGATAGCTGGTTAATATAGCAGAGTTCTGCCCTGTCACAGAAGTGTGATGCTGAGTGCAGTAAATAAATCTTCCAAGAAGTAAATTGCAAAACAAGTAACCTTACATTATTCAAGTAGATCCAGTTCACATTCAGGTTGCAGTCGAAAGGAGAGAGAGAAGCCTAATCTAAAGAGTACTTTCCCTCTCACAAAGGGCCAGCTTGTCCGGCATCGTGCGTGTGTGTGTGTGTGTGTGTGTGTGTGTGTGAGTATGAGGTAGGTTTGCCAAATCTTTTTTACCTGGCGGCGGGGGGCTCCTGCCCGGCGTCCTGAGTGTGAGCGTGCGTGCTTTGCGTGTGCGCACCGCCCGGATGTGACGTCATGACGCCGGGCACGCTGGGGGCGGGGCCACAGCCATTTGAGGGGAAAACATAGAGTTTTCCCCTCAAATGGCTGTGTCCCCGCCCCCAGCATGCGACGTCACATCTGGTTGATGTAGGTGCGGCACGCGTGCGCGCGCACTGGGAGATAGCTTGGGGTCCCCCGCCGAGGAGGTAAGAGACATTTGGCAACCCTACCCACCCCACATACACCCAATAGCCATGGCAGGCTATTTATGAAGCTGGGTGGGAATGCTAATGCTGAACCCCCCCCCCAATGTCCTTGCATACTGAGGCACTCACTCCAACACTTTCCCCATCCCTTTGCTCAGAATAGGAGCCAAGAGAAGCTGACCATTTGAGCAGTTAACAGTATTAGACCACAGCAGGGAACATCTGCCCTAATACAAAGATTTGGGGGATGGATTGCTCTGTCTTTAAAGTTATGAAGCGTTAACCTATTTGATCTTCCCTTTAGGCCTTACTGCTGTTGGGGGTTTGGTACTGATGGGCGGATCTTACCTTCCTTCAAGTGTACCACAAACATTAGCTTTACTGGCTGCGTTCATTTCATCCGTAAATATTGCAGGTACAAATTCATTAATGTGCAGCTTTACCTTAATGATGATTGTTGATGAATGTCTGGCGTCCTTCTTTATTTATTTGCACAAAGTTTTTGCTTTGAAAGTTATACTTTCCTTTAAAAAAATCTTAGTAAATAAGCTGACCCAATCTGCTATCAACTGCTAACAGTAATCTGCTACCAACTGCCTGCTGTTTCAGTTTTTGGGGTATGGGAGGGAAAGCCACAGTTTTGGGTAGCACCGGTAAGTGCATTGTTCTACTTAGACTTGGGGCTACTTCATCTAGGAATTTTTTGAAAACCAGATGTTTACAAGTTTGTGACATCAGTTCTCTGACCAAAGCTTGTAGTATGGTGCTGTATTTGACCTTTGCACTTCATATGTACGCAAGAGACGTTAGCTTCCAAACAGAAAAGGTCTGTCTGCATCATCGAGAATTCAGAGAAAAATAATATTTTTCTTTAGGAGCTTTAGATAGATAATCATGTAAAGCACCTTCTTGAAAGTGTTGGGAAAATTGGTAAAAATAGTTAAATATTCAGAGTTTGCAATGGATCTTTGCTCACTGGAGAGGAGGCTTTTTCTTTCTGTGTAAAAATATTTATTTCTACACAGGAAAATCTACAAAACAACAAACACTCAAGACTACATGCTTGCAACAACAGACACACAGATAGTAATGGAGATTCTTCCTTTCTTCTTGGCCCCTAGAAGGAAATCACCTGAATGCATTAACCCATGATTATTAGTAAATAGGCTTCAGTTTCCGGGTTTTCTTTCCATCGGCTTTCTGCCAGGTTCCCTTCCAGATCAGTCTAAACAATGGCACACAAGATAAGCACATTAACCCTTTAATGACTGACTTTAGACCTTGCAACACACATGTTTCCAGCAGAAAGAAATCCTATAAGTGTTCGCAGTTACCAAATTGAAATAGCCCTAATATATTTTGCCATGCCTCTTTTTTATATAAATCCACAATGTTTTAGATGTGTGTTACTTTTCAAATAAAATTTAGGTCTGGAGTAAGGTAATTACTAACACTTTAAGTTATTACAGAAGCTTAAGAAATGCAGTGCACTCAATTACTACCAATACAAGGCAGGAGAAGGGTGTTCTGACTAAGGATGCCAGCCTCCAGGTGGGACCTTGGGAACCTGTGGAGTTATTCAATAAAAATAAAGTTATTTTAAAAAAAACCTCATCGAAGGTAGTAGCAAACGGTTTGCCACAGGCTGCCTCCTGACTTCCTTGGTGTGCGCGCCAGCGCGGCTTTTCCCTCTGGCCATCTTCATTGCAGCACACATGCCAATGGCCAGAACCGTGGGTTGCCGCCAACACATCTGATCGTGTTGTCGTGCGTCTAATTGTGGCGCTGCAAATAGCCATTCCCCCCCCCCCCCCCGTGTTTTCTGGCACGTGTGACCGGGGCCAAGGTAGTGTGAAGCCTTCCCATTGGTCAAGCTTGGTATAAATGCCCAGAACTTTAGCCTTCTGCCCTTGCCTGTTAAACAGTATCATCTGCTTGCTGCACTTCTGTCTCCAGTGAAAACTGTAGCTTTAGTTCAAGCCGAAGTTCTTAATGAGAGACGAAGCAGCAGAAAACAGGGACTTGGGTCAGAAAGTAGTACCCAGCAACCAATGTTCCCTCTAAGCTGTGGAATCTTGTGAGCAAACATTCTACTTTGTGAGCTACTGACATTAAAGCGGTGAGCGAGCAATTTGGCCACTGCATAAATTAGTCTGCTCTGGAGCCATCCTTCCTGAGCTAAGGCAGAAATGTGTGAGCCAGAGGCTAAGAAACTGTGAGCTAGCTCACACTAACTCAGCTTAGAGGGAACACTGCCAGCAACTGAATTTGGGTGCAGTAGCCCACAGCTCTGGCCAGGCCCCAAGAGAGGCTGAAGTAGCACCAAATACATGACACCTATTTAAAAAATATAATACGTGTGTATTTATTAGCAGAATGCCAATGCCATTTATGCATAAAGGAGATGAATGTAATGTAGTATTCGTGTCAATGGAATTATAATATTATATTATAAAACTGTAGTTTACATCAAAAGAATGTTAGATTTTTGTCACCAAGAAAAATCTGTATATTCTAAATATAAGCAAAGCATAAACTCAAACAATGATAATGAAAGACTGTTCGATCCATCCCTTCCAACACCCCCACCCCAGTATTTCCTCTATTTATGCCCTCAGTTCTAACTAATGGAATATTTTTGACTAGTGGTGTGGAAGTTAATGGGGGGGGGGAGGTGTGTGTGCTGCTTTTGAGGATAAAAATTAGTATAGATGGGGGGTGGATAATAACCAATACCTCACTTAGCCACTCTGTGTTTAGAAAAAGAATGAATATGCTACGGCCTCCACTGTGAAATCCCCTGTGTTTTAATATCAACCCTATGGGATTCCCCTAGACAAAGAAGGCAAAAATTGTGACCGTCATTTTGTTTTGCCCATACACTCTCCTCCCCACCCACCAAATTGGGGGGGGGAGAGAGAGTGAAGAAAAAAGGTCTGTTGTGTTGGGGTTTTTTTTGTAGAAATAGAGAAGAAAGAAGGGCGAAGCAAACAAACAAAGACCGAAGAAGGCAGACGAACAAATATACTCAGCTGAGGCAAATACAGAGAGAAACAGGAACGAGGTGTGAACACACAGGCGGTCGAAGAAGAACTGACTGGGAGATGGCTCCCTCCCCCGCTCCAGGCATGCGCAGTACGTGCCTGCTCCCCAGTGTCACAATTGCACTGGCGGGCCAGGGCTGTGCTTTTAGAGGCAGCTTTGCGCCCTACGATGTCTTCGGCCGCTTCTCATTCTTCTGTCCCTCAAAGATTGGATGGGACTCCGAAGGCACCAAAGCTAAAACCTAAATGGCCTGAGGATAAGGCTCCGTTGAAATCGAAAGTCAAGCCCTCGACATCGGCTTTGACTTCGGCTGTCGACCCAGTCGTCATCACCAATTTAACGACATTGACTCCTGCTGTGGCTGTTGTGTCCCACAAGTCCACTTTGCGGCCTCCGACACCACTGCCTACGCTCTCTTCAGCATCTGGCCTTATTCTGCTGGGTCAGTCCACGAGATCGCCTCCCGACTTGTCGTCTCACCGGGACTCTCGATCTCCGTCTCCACACTCCTGTACCCCAATCCACGATTTGGAGGGCAGGGAGCATTCTGTTGGCCGCTGTTCTTGCTCTCGCTCTTGATACGATAGAAAGCATCTCATTCGTCGTCCATCGCCTTCCCCCTCAGGATCGCCTTCTGATGACCAATACTGGTCTCCTGATGAACGAGATCGGCCTGTGTATTATCCTTACTACTATTCGAGGTTTCCTACTCCTCAGTTGCACCACTATGATCGGCTACATCACTCTGAACGTACTGAGCATCAACACATTTCGGATCACGCCAGATGTTCTCGATCCGTGACTTTGACCCGCTCTGGGCTCCTGACCAGCCTCCTGAGCTCTCGAGACCTAGGGATGCCCCGAAGTGTTCTCCCTCCCTCAGAACCCCCGGCTTCATCCTCCTACTGATGACCAGATACCGGCTGATCTCACTCAGCCGCTGAGATCGTCCTCCCCCATGTTGATCTCTGACAACTCGGACTCGGGAGACCTAGAACTTGATGTTTCGCACATCGACGATGAGCCTCGGTGCTCGGGATCTATTTCCCCCACTGAGGGCCCAAAAGCTTATTTGGCACTGGTGACCAGGATGGCCTCTGCGCTTCAAGTCCAGAGTTCCACTGAGTCCCCTTCTGTGACCGATGTTGTTCACAGGCTGGTTCAGGCCGACCTCCCGCCTTCTACGGTCCTGCCTCTGCTGCCGGTCCACCTTTCTGCCCTTAAAGAGTCGTGGGTACATCTGGCTTCGATTCCCCCAGTCTCCAGACGATACAGAGCTCTCTATAAAGTCCAAGAGAACTCGGGGAAGTTTCTCTTCAGTCAGCCTCCGCCAAATTCGATGGTGATACATTCTTCTTCGAAATAGAAGCAATCTGCCTGCCACTCAGCGCCTCCCAATCGCAAGGGTCGCAAGGTCGATGCTATCACGAAGAAGATGTATTTCTTCGCCTCTATGAACCTTCGTATTGAGACCTACCTGTCATACCTGTCGGCTTATGCTTTTAATGTGGCTAATGCAGTACGTCCTGTCTTGGAGTTTGTTCCGGAGGAACACCATCCCATGTTGTTAGGGGCTTTGTCAGAAATTTGTACGATCTCGAAACAGCAGATCAATTCAGTCTGTCATGCTGTCACTTGCTCCTCAAAGGTCCTTGTCTCCTCCATCGCCCTCCGTCGTCACGCTTGGCTAAGAGATACCTCTTTACAGCCCAATGTGAAATTTTGGATTGAGGACCTCCCATTCAATGGCGAAGGTCTCTTCCACTCCACCACTGACAAGGCCTTGAAAGCCATTGATGATAGTCAGAAGCAGGCTCGGAACCTGGGTGTCTCAACCTCGATGCCTCGACATTAGTACCATTCTTGGAAGCCGTATTATGCAAGGCGCCAGCTGTCTCCCGTGCCCACCTCCCAATGGAGAAAGAGGCCCTATGACTTCCATCACTCGAATAGGGTGCGCCAACAGGCTCCTAAAAAACCCTAGCAGCCCAAGCAGTCTGTTTGACCGCTTCGATCACCTGCCGTCTCCTCTGTCGTACACTCCTCCCATCCGGACCCAATTCTTCCCCTTTCTGCCAATGTGGGAAGGAATTTCCACCAATTCCTGGGTCCTTACCATCCTACGGGTCGGGTACGCCATAGAGTTCATTTCGCCTCCCGACCTACCTCACTTTGTCATCAAACCCCCCTCCCCGGATCCTCTCCTCCATCTTGAGATTTCTGCTCTTCTGGCCAAGGATGCCATCGAGGTCGTCCCGAAGGGGCAACGAACCCTTGGCTTCTACTCCAAGCCAAGTATTTCCTCGTACCAAAGAGGGATGACGGCTTCAGGGCCATTATGGATCTTCGGGATCTGAATCGATACCTTTGATGTCACAAGTTCCAAATGGTCACCTTACAGCCCATTCTTCCACTGATTCCCAAGGCTGCATGGCTAGCAACTGTCGATCTCCATGACGCGTATTTTCACATCACTATCCGTCCCCAACATTGAAAGTTCCTGCATTTCGCTGTCGGCAATGCACAGTACCAATACTGGGTCCTCCCGTTCGGACTCTGCACTGCCCCGAGGGTTTTTACCAAGCTGATGGCTGTGGTGGCTGCAGACCTCCATCGTCGTGGGATTGCCCTGTATCCCTATATCGACGACTGGCTTCTGGTTTCCGCCACACAAGACCAGCTCCTCCAAGATGTCCAAACGACCCTGTCTCTCCTTTGTGTCCTGGGGCTTTTTGTTAACCTACCCAAGTCGTCTCTCCGACCTGTCCAGGTCCTTCAATTTCTGGGTGCCCGGCTCGATACCAATTTGGAGACCACGTTTCTCCTGAACGCAAGGGCCTCCGACATACTCTCGTTCGTCTCGCAGTTGCAGACCTCTCCCCAGCAGTCTGCTCAGTCCGTCATGAGGCTTTGAGGGCACTTTGCGTCTACTGTCTTCGTCGTCCATCATGCCAGGTTGAGGATGCGTCCCCTCCAACTGTGGCTTCTCCATGCCTTCAACCCTCTCCGCAGTCCGTGGCACAAAATCCTGTTGATCCCACCCCTTGTTGTTGACTCCCTCACCTGGTGGTCTCATCCTCAACACCTTTCAGCATCCTCCTCCGCAAGCGTCAGTCTCCACTGATGCATCCCTCTGGGGTTGGGGAGCCCAGTGTGGAATCGTTTCAGCGCAGGGGACCTGGTCTCATTGCGAAGCCACCCTTCATATCAATGTCCTGGAGCTGCGTGCGGTTCATCTCGCTCTCCGCTCTTTCCTCCTGGTGCTTCGAGGCCAAATCGTTCGGGTTGCCTCTGACAACACCACCACCGTTTATTACATAAACAAGCAGAGCAGGATTGCCTCCCTTTGTCTTTGCCAGTCAGCCATCGATCTCTGGAGATGGTGCCTCCGCCATTCCATCACGCTTTCCGTGATACACATTCCTGGCATTCAAAACATCGATGCCCATCAATTGAGCCCACTCCCGCTTGTTGGACAACGAATGGTCCATCCACCTTCAATACATGAAACCTGTCTTTCTCGAGTTTGGTCGCCATGTTGTCGACGGCTTTGCAACTGCAGACAATGCTCGGTGTCACCTCTTTTTCAGCCGCGGTATGCTATCTGCTCAGTCACTGGGAGATGCCTTTCTCCACACCTGGAAGGGAACCCTATACTACTTCTTCCCTCCATTCCCCTTGATCTCCCGTGTTGTTCAGAAGATTGTGGCCAATGCAACGTCATGCATCCTTGTCATTCCATAGTGACCGCGCCAAGTCTGGTTTCTGCACTTCCTTCGTCTCTCCAACCGGACGTTCCGGCCGCTGTCTGTCATCCTCGATCTCCTGTCTCGGGCTCGAGGAAGGATCCTGCACCCTGATCCGGGCTTCTTCAGATTGACAGCCTGGAAGATCCTGCACTAGACTTCCCGCCTGAAGTGTCTGAAGTTCTCCTGGAAGACAGTCTTCCTTATAGTGATTACTACTGCACGCAGAGTAGGAGAACTAGCTGCCTTTCGGGCTGATCCCCCCTATACAATTTTTCATAGGGAGAAGGTTGTCCTTTGACCAGATCCTTCTTTCCTGCCTAAAGTCGTTTCTGCTTTTTACCCGTCCCAGTCATCTTTCTTACCTTTTTTCTTTCCGAATCCAACTGATGCACCTCAGAGAGCACTCCACTGCCTCGATGTGCGCACCCTCATGTGGGGGAGGCGATTTCCTCTCAACGCTTGTCTAAATGGGTGACTTCCACCATAGTCCTTTGCTATGAGCTTGCATGTCAACCCATTCCTACCGGTGTCACTGCCCATGCCACACATGCGGTATTGACATCCACCACTTTCCTGGCTGGTGTTCTGCTGGAGGACGGCTGTGCGGTTGCTACGTGGTCCTCAGCATCGACCTTTGTGACCCACTACGCACTCGACGTCTGAGCTCAACAGGATGCTGCATTCGGCCAGTTGGTGCTGCAATCTCTCTTCGCTTGACCCTGCTGCGTCCCCAAGTAGGACCCTTGGGTGTTTTTTCTCACTGATGATGCTATGTCTTAACCAGTGTTATTTGTGTTTTTTGCAGCTGCCAGCTCCCTCCTCCAACTGGTTCAGCTCTTGTAATCGCCCATGTGTGGGACTGCACAGAGACCACGACAAAGATAAGCAGGTTGCTTACCTGTAACTGATGATCTTTGAGTGGTCATCTGTGCAGTACCTCAATCCCACCCAGCCTTCCCCACTGCTGGCATCTCCTGTTCTCCCCAGGGCGGGAAGAGAGCCCACCAAAAGCTTTCTGAGGCAAAGCTCTAGAAGTTTCTTCGGTTGAGGTCATGCGCAGGTGCCCAACCCATGTGTGGTACTGTACAGATGACCACTCAAAGATCATCAGTTACAGGTAAGCAACCTTTTTTAAAAAAAAGCATTGTGCCTATGTGGTTGTTACTCCCTTCTCTTCTGTGTATGACAAGACTGAAGCAAGAGGCCATTCACAATGTCGCAGGGATGGTAGAGCAGGAATACCAGCTGAACAAGCTGACTTGCTACCAGCAAGTCCCACCTCATGTGGTGGTTTGGGCGTCAAACCAGATCTAGTTTTGGGGGCGGAGTTGGTGCTGCACCTGCCCCCCATAAGGGGTCTTGAGAGTGGTGCTAGGGTTGCCAGTCCCCAGGTCTGAGTGGGGGATCTCCTGATTTCCAGGGCTTCTCCTCACCACAGACCAGCTGGCAGGTGGGGAAAACCCCGCCATGAAACAAGGGCGTTGTCAGATGTCCCCAACATGATAACATCACCCGGAAGTGATGTCATCATGTCAGGGACATCACACAGGGGTCAATCTGGTTTTTGGGCCAAAAAACAGAGCATCCCCAATGCGATGATGTCACTTCCGAGTGACATCATCATGTTGGGGACATCACTTGATGTCCCCTCCCACCCCTGGAATGCCTCCCAAATCCCCCTGCCAGATAGACGAGGGGACCTGGCAGCCCTAGGTGGGGCTGTTCCACATTATGCCCAGCTCAGGGGCTGGCACATGGCTCCCATCCTCAGATGGCAAGAAAACCATGCAGTGGTGCATCCCCATGTGGGACCCCTGGACAGCAGGTGGGCCGGGACGAGGGATTGCTTCATTGGCCAACAGGCAGAGTCGCCCTGATTATGGATCTCTGTCCCATGCTACACTGTGCTCCTGTGATTGTACTCAATAAAGGCTGTGGACATTTTCTGTCGAAGTTGGCATGGGCTGATTGCTTCCTTCCCTTCACCCCCACACTTTTACACCCAATGGCCCGCAAAAGAGATACTAGAAGTTTAAGTATGGTTTGAAAACCATCTGTGGACTCGGTCAAATCACTGACGTGAGCACTCAGTGGTGATGGAAGTGCATCCTGCAGAGATACTCAGGAACACTTCCACTCCCCTCCTTATTTCATATGCTCTTAATTTGAGCCTGGCTATCGGAAAGGGTGGCGGAGCTGAGCCCGGGTGTTAATGTAGCTTGTTCTGTGTTTCGGTTCACTTCTCTTCTAACAGTTTGTGTTTCTGTTTCCCAACAGGTGGTTTCTTAATTACTCAGAGAATGCTGGACATGTTTAAGCGGCCAACAGATCCACCTGAATATAATTACCTTTACGTCCTCCCTGGAGCAGTGTTTGTTGGAGGGTATGGTGCATCTCTTGCCAGCGGATACAGCACTGAACAGGTCAGTAATCAATTCTAATATTTTCTGTCCATTGGTACAGCTTAGTGCTAGTAGGTGAACGGACTGCCATAACTAAGACAAGCAGGCAAGCAAGATCACTGTTAACGGGCTGGTTCTGTTTGGCATTTGTAAAAATAACAAATAAATGCTGAGGCAGGTAGTTCAGGGTAGCAGTTTTGTTTACAACCTCTGTATCCCTATGTCATGTCAGCTCCAAATACAGGTAATGGCCAACAGCCTGAAAATTCTTTTCTTTTTTTTGACCCCCCCAAAGGGGAATTTTTTTATTTTTGCATTTTCTTGTCATATGCAAAAATGAAGCTGCAAGTTGTAATCACATGGAGGACTTGCTGCAGGTGTTTTGTGGTTGTGTTGGAAGCCACTGGATAGAACTGAGCTTTGTAGGTCTTGCCTGCAAGGGTACATTCTACTATATGTGTTTTAGTTGTTGTTCAGTCGCACAGTTGAGTCCAACTCTTCGCAACCCCATGGACCACCTCACGCCAGGCCCTCCTGTCTTCTGTTGTCCTCTAGAGTTCGCTTAATTTCATGTTCGTTGCATCGATAACACTGTCTAACCATCTCATCCTTTGCCACCCCCTTCTTCTTTTACCTTCAGTCTTTCCCAGCATCAGGGTCTTCTCAAGTGAGTGCTCCCTTCTCATTTGGTGGCCAAAGTATTTGAGCTTCAGCTTCAATATCTGGCCTTCCAGGGAACAGTCAGGGTTGATTTCTTTTAGGATTGACTGATTTGATATCCTTGCAGTCCAAGGGACTCTCAAGAGTCTTCTCCAGCACCATAATTCAAAAGCATCTATTCTTTGGCACTTGGCCTTCCTTACAGTCCAACTCTCGCAGCCATACATTACTGCTGGGAATACCATTGCTTTGACCATACGGACTTTTGTTGGCAGGGCAAGGGTGTAGACTTTCCAATTTCCTGGGGGGCTGGGGCTGGGCTAGAGGCATTGCTATGCTAGGTCCTTAAAAGGACCGAGGCCCAGTGACATCATAGAGAGGAGCCAGTGACATCACAGGCCATTGTCACTGTCTATGGAGGCAGAGCCATGTGGGATTTAGGAAGGGGCTTCCCAGAAATTTAGGGGGGCCTGGGAACCCTTGGGAACCTCCCTAGCCATGCCCCTGGGCTGAGCTAAACATAGGAAAAGGTGGGAGTTGGCCAGTGCTTACAGTGGTATCTTAGCAGTCTCCTGCTGTGTCCTTTATTGAAATTCACTTTTAGAATAGTCACTTTAAGATCTGCAAGTATACATACCATTTGCATAAGACAAACAAATGGTCACAAATTTGAAAGTAAGGAGGGCAACACAGAAAAGCCTGTAGGGGAACATTTAAAAAAGTTTTCTTGGACGTTCATTTACAGGAGTCTTGTTTCTGCCTTATTCATAAGTGTGACTTTGTACTGAAATTTACTAAATTATGGCATCACAGATGCCTTCATTTGGTAAATGCATGGCTGAAGTCTCTGAGCCAGAATACCAAACAGTTGCTACGCACTCAATTCCCGAGCAATGTACAGAGTTCAGAGTACCAGCAATCTTCTTCTCACTTCAAACTCATATCCTACAAGTGAGTACAAGTACAAGTCCCAGAGCACTGAGCCTATTCCCAGGGGCTGTCCTGTCATTCCACTCTGTGATCTGTCATTCCAGTGCCACGGCACAGATTCTAGTGCCAGGGATCATCATTCCACTCTGGGGGCTGTCATTCCAGTCCCAGTCTACAATGTTCCCTCTAAGCTGAGTTAGTGTGAGCTAGCTCACAGTTTTTTAGCCTCTGGCTCACACATTTTCATCTTCGCTCAGGAAGGATGGCTCCAGAACAAAGTAATTTATGCAGCAGCCAAATCGCTCGCTCACAACTTTAATGCCGGCAGCTCACAAAGTAGAATTTTTGCTCACGAGACTCCACTGCTTAGAGGGAGCATTGGTCCCAGAGTAGCCTATCTGGGCCCAAAGACCTTAATGGAAAAACCATTCCACATTTTCTTTGCAACTTTTTTTGTGCTGCAATGTATTTCAGTGGAGCCCATGCACGTCAATTGGTATTCCTGGCTCCCATTATCTCCAATGGGCCTTCAAGCCTCTCCCATTGTTTCCAATGGGCAATCCAGTCATTCCTTTTCTACATCTCAGTTAGTTGTCCTCAGTTAGTTGTCCACACCATTTTACGTAACAGCAAAACTAAGAGCATGAACACTGAAATATACTGGGTTCGACACGCGTTAATGATAAGCTCATGCTTTATTGTGATTATAGCTCAGACTAAAGACAAATTAGCAGGACCAAAGTCCTGCTTAAATCCGTGCACAACACCCCACCCCACACAAATCCACTCCCAGCGATAGGTTATTTACATCACAACAGTAGCGCTATAGGTCCCTTCCAGGATCCTGGCTATCTATTGTTCTAGTACAGCAAGCGCTCTCTAGGTTACTATTATTGTTAGAGCTCAGTACATAACAAACATGTACAGAGTGCACATTTCTTGCCAGTGTTCTTTCTGGGCTGCACACAGGGCAAAAGGAAATTTTAAAAGGCCTCTGATCTGCATGTCCGCCCCCCAATCTTGTTCATGCAGATGGGCTTACCATTTAAAAATGAAATGGAAATTGAAAGAGCTTAGGAGTGGTTGAAGCAGGCCCCCTCACTACCATAAAAAAACCCAACTGTTTTCAATCAAAGATATATAGACCCAAGTAAAATATAATGGAGACACACTTTCCTCTTCTATTGTTCTAGTAGCCCAACAGAGGCTTTGCAGTCTGACTGTTGCTACATTGAAAGTGGGTGGAGACAGCCAGGGTTAAGGACTTTACTTTCTTTTCCAACAGACAATTCTGGTCTGTAGTTGGATGGGAAACTATAAAGGAAGCCCAGAGTTGGTATGCAGAGGCAGGCAATGGCAAACCACCTTTGACTGTCTCTTGCCTTGAAAACCCTACAGGGTGGACTTCTGGTTTAAGCATTTCACCGCTCAGACGCATCTCGTCTCACTTAGATGGAGATGCACCGAGACCCGGCTGACAGGAGGGGTCCACGTTCATCCCGGACCCCCCCGGGGTCTCTGTA